GGGTGTGCCAATGAAAAAAGTCTGAATGAGGCGTGCCAGTGAAGAAGGCATGATGGTTAAGAGTCTCCGCCAATCTGCATATGGTATAGTGCGTCTTCAATACAGCTCATGCTTACCGCGAAAGTGTGTATTGGGGATAGCGGAGCCGCTCGGTAAGGCATTGTTCACAGGCTGCGACCCAGCTTTTCTCTAGAAAGAAACGCTTCGGCGAAAAGCTTTCGATACGTATCGATTGGCGGTTGGGCGAAGAGTCTGGCGGTTGCGCGAACGGTTTTGATACGTATTATCGACGGGCGGTTCGGCGAAGCGGTTGGGCGAAAAACGCTTTTTCTCCGAGGCGGAGCCTGCGAAATCAATACGCATACAGGGGGGGGGGGCAAAAAAGTCACTTTGACCGAGTCACATATCAGCAAAGTTTTCGCAGCCCAGACAGAGGACGTGGATACGAGTACCAGGGCGGAAGATACCCAAGATGTTCCTCGATAAGCAGGAGCTGGCTCTCGCCCATCACCTTCATGTACACCAAAATATGAAGTCATCTCCAGTCGCAGCCTGACTGGAGAAGACCTTTGGAATTCATGTCACCTCCAAACAGCTGCGAAACTTCTAGTATGGAGTCACCCATGGATAGCTACCTGGAGACCAGTACTCTCAATCTGGAAGACCTCCAACATCGAGCAGCTCCGTCAACGTCGCTACGGTCTAGGACATCATCTTCACCTCAGTCGCCAAGGCGCGAGTTGATGGTATGGACCGGGGTACCTGGAATGGGAAGACCGATATTTTCTTTGTAGACCCGGACTGAAGGTGAGCGCTGGCGGTTACATCAAGCAACTCGTCGCCCGTACCTTCTTGGAGACCTTGTGCTGCTACAGGTTTGGGTGCCACCACATGGAATCGAAGGGTTTTGGAAAAACTGAAGTATGTCCCCTGACCTGAACCCACTCAATTACCTAGTTCGGGCGGAGTTCAATAGGGTGGTCTACGGTGGCGGAGAAATCGACTATCTCGCTGATCTCAGGCACCACATCGCGGTCGCGTGCCAGAATCTCTCGATGGCGCTCGTCCAGAAGGCTGTGGCGGAGTTTTATAATAGTATTTAATATGCTCTTCAATATGGTGGTAAAAATGTCCGATCAGAATTTATAAAGTGTAACTTATAG